TGCATCTGGATCTTGTGAAGTTATGAGGGACAGTGTGCAGGAGGACAAGATATTTTTTTTTTCCCCCCCCAATTTCTGCAGACAAATGCTTGAACAGGACACTGGATCAGGGGACAGGGAGAGGGCAAAGTTTCCTTCCGCTACTGTGGAACATTCTCTGCCTGACCAAGAAATGAAGGCAAAATGGTTCCAGTTTCTGCATGCGTTATTTGCCCCAGTGTAAGTGTGATACTAGTTTTATGCTACTTAGGGATTCTCTGTGTAAAGTGACAAACTGGTTAGCTGCTTAAATTTGCTTTTAGCCTGTTTTTTGCTAGAGCAGGTAACAAGAGCCTGACCTGATGGTATGACATCCTTGTAACTTTAAGGGGCTTTCTGATACAGTTTTTACAGGGGGCAGCTCTAGCTCTTGAGAGTAAATAATGAACAAACTCAATTAGTATCCTTCATTCATCGGCAATAGGCACAAAGCAAATTTGTAACAATTAGCTCAGACCCTGTCAGAAGCCCCTAGCTGTATTTAATAAGTGTTTGTTCCTACGTATTTTTCTGCCACCATCTAGAATACATTTGCATAAATAGACCCTCGAGTGCCTCATTTGTAGGGGTTGCCAGTGTGCCAACTATATGGACACGCATTTGGGTCAACCAACCAATTGCTTCGCCACTTATCTTCATGTCAGTGCCCTGCTTTGTTATTGCAGCCTTCAATGCCACTTCTGTCTCCATCAACACTGTCTCATTCATGCTGTTTGCTTTGATGATTTGGTGGGGCAGCTTCTTTCGTGGCCTTGTCTCCTTGTGAGAGGGGTTTATTCTTCTTCAGCTTGCTTGTCTGGCTCACAAATCCTTGTGAATCAAATTGACAGTATTAATCTTACACAGGGTTGCTATGCTGGAGGGTAAGTGCCAGTGCTCAGCATGTCCTGGCTCCTGTGGAAGTCGGAGGGAGGAGGGCTAAGCATGGCACATCATCAAATACTGCACTCAGCTACTTCTGCATGAGATGCTTGAATCAAGCCATACGATAGGTTTGTTAAACCTGGTGTCATTTGCTGGCCGTGGAAGCCCATTTTGCAGTGGTGATTCAACGTGCTATTCCTGCACAGCAAAAGCCGTGCTCACGTCTCATTGATTTTACTAGGTTCTGAGTGGGTGCTCAAGCACCCTATCGAACCCCTGGCACAAATACCTTGTATTACTTGCTGCACGCTTCCCCCACTGTTGGGATTTCCCACTGTGACCGTTTCACTCGCATTTGGCAACGTACGGGGGTTGTGGGTTTCCTGCAACGAAAAGAACTCCTGACTTGTAATGAAGGGATTGTTTGCCTGTTGTGGAGCACCTGTGCTCAGTGGCATATTCGTGAAATAAGCAGACGCATGTTGGGAGGAAATCATAGATGTTGCACAGGAGGTGATCATCCTCCAGGTCCCAAGCTCTCTAGGTAAGATACAAAGATACAGTTGTGTTTTTAAAGGCAGTGGTAAAATTCTCCTTTTTCAGTGAACTCCAGATCCCCTTCTGTGACTGGAAGATTGTTGCCAACAGTGCAGAATACTGTGTTGAAATGTGGACACACTGATCCCAAGGCAGGTGTCAGTTTTCTGAGCTGTTTTTTTTTCTAGTAGGGAAACCTGTCCTTTAGAAATTGTTACTTTTGAGTTAATTTGTGAGATGGTGCCAGGAACCCTGAACTTTACATGGGAGATTCTTGAAGTTTATTAACTGGGAAATGCCCTCTAAAGTGTTTGTGTTCCTCCCAAATGGCTCTCAGAAGTTATCAGAGTGGTGGAAAACTCCTGAGGAAAAGCCCTCTTGGAGAAAATGCTTGGTTTGAAAATGCTAATTGTACCATTTTCCCTGCGGTATCTCAGCCCCATTGCACCTGCTATTCGAAGAGTAGACTTAGGGGTGGCTGGCAGCGAGGAGCTCCTGGATAGTCAAACGTGCAGTGTTTGACAAGTGCTTGTGCACAGGAGTCTGCGCCCTCCGCGTTTATCCAAAGAGAGAACCATCAGTTTATGCAGCTGTACTGAGCTGTGTTTGCATTTGTGACCCAGTTAGCAACAGCTCTCAATGCTTCCTAACGCAGGGTGATTGTGCAAAATATTTCTGAAACAATGTCCAAGGAGACTAAAGAGCACGTGGCCAGAACCAGCAAACCGTAACCTGCCCACCCAGGAACACTCAGCTCGGGGATGAGGAGTGAGCCCGAGGGTCCTTGCTGTATACCAGGGCTTTTAGGGAAGTAAGCTGAGGCACTAAATCTCTTTTCCTGCTTAATTCACCTGTTGGTTTCTGGCAGGGGTTTAGCAGCTTAGTGTTTGAAGCGCTACAATCACCATGCAAACGAGTGGGTTGTTTCAGATTTGAGTGGTATCACTGGGTATAACTGAGGAAAACTAAGCAATAGAGTATTGGGGTGGTAGAGCCCCATGACAGTAGTTTTGCAGTAAAAGCTGTGCTGTAAGAATTTTGCTACCAAACAAGGTGATAGCAAAAGTGTTTGAGCGTTGCCCAGCGCAGCATTCGCCAGTCTAGCACAAGCTAGTTCAGGGCCAGTTCTCGCCCACAGGGAATGCAGTCTTGGGATGCAGAGAACTACAGTTTTGACTCAGTATCTCGGGATTGAATAAGAGCAGGGACAGAAGTGGTCCTGTTTGGGCTGCCATTTTATATAGGCATTTTGTGAGAATGCTCAAAAGGTAGAGAGGTTTATTTTGCTTTTCTTGCACAAGTGGAGCAAGTGCATAGAAACGTGCTCAGTGCCTGATCCTGCAGAGAGTTTAAGCCTGCACTAAGTATGTAGGCACTGAAGAAAAAACATTTTGAAGCAGGATGCTTAAGTATTTGAGCCTTAATAACAGGAGTTGAAAGTAATAAAAGCCATGTCCCATCATAGTGAAAGTGGTTTTCCAAGGCCTGAAGATTCAATTGTAAGGAGAGACTTTGCAAGTCTGCCGTTATAGCTAGGCCAGATTTTTCAGTTCCTGGATTGGGGATGCTCCTACTGGAGTCTCTGTGCATTTTGGCAGAAGATGCTAGGACTTTGGGAGCCCAGAATGACAAGTGTCACTCTTCAGTACAAGAGGTATAAAATCAAGCATCAGGACAGAGAATGGGAAATTCGGCTTCATAGGTGGGTGGTCTGGATGTTGGCACAGGGTCCTCTGCAGCAGGTTTAGATTTTGGAAAGCAGCTTTTCCAACACATGTTTAGAATTGGAATAATTTACAATGTGAAGAAAAACAAATGACAGATTCCTAGTGTAGGAATCAAGGAGCAGTCATCTCGTGTTTCTGTGTGTTGCTTCCTGTGCCAGGTTTTGGCTTCTGAGGAACTGAGCAGTGCCCAAGAGAAAGCGCTGGCTGTGAGAGCAGTGCACAAAAGCTACAGAGGCTCGGCAGGGTGACTTTGGAGCTCTCAGCCCTGGATAGTCCAGGATAGCCCTGGATAGTCCAGGATAGCCCTGGATAGCTGGCACCCAGTCCTCTGCCTCGCAAGCCGCTACGTGGAAGAGCGAAGAACCCGCCTGGCTGCGTGTTGTGTGTGCGCCCGCCTCTCCTCCTGAGCTGCGCTTCCCTGAACTGCCCCTCCTAGCAAGAACTGCCCCCTTTCCGGAGATGGGGAGTCTCTGGATACCTTACATTGTTAGTTTAAATCCTTTGTAGCAACTGATGATGAGGTGTTAGTTGAAAATGATGCAGATCCTAAGTCAGTGGACAGTTTTGCTTTAGGAAGATTGATTAAAAGCAGGAGGTATTGGATTGTCTTCAGTGAGCAATATCTTGAATTTGAGAGCTAGATTCCTCCCAAAGCAAATGGTTGGTGTCCTACTAACAAAGTGAGCTTGGCTGAGGATTTTACTGTTCTTAGTTCCTTAAAGAAAATGCCATCTTGTTGAGTAAAGGAAATTTCCTTTGCTTTCCCATCTTTGCATTCGTGTCTGCCTGTACTGCTTTTGTTGTTGCTGTTTTGTTTCCTTTCTAAAATATGAATTGGGCCACATTGAAGTTGTGCTGCATTAGGGCCTGGTAACCAAATCAGATGTGACAGGTCCCCAAGTGTCTGCTGTTTCCAAGAGGGAGGTGCCAAGCAGCCAAGAGAGGCGCTGCCCTCGAAGGAATGAAATCTCTTGGAAAACATGGTCTCAGATGCTTCCAAGTGCTTCAGTGACCGACTTTTCAGTGAACTGCTGAAAAACTAATTGGGCTGTTTTGTTTGGGAAAGCAGATCTGGGAGGCAGTCCGCAGGGAAAGATGGATACGCACTGATAGTTAGCGAGGAAACTTCCTTCCTTGCAGGCTGAGCTAAGCTTGCCCAAACGGCCGCACTGTGAGAGAAGGTAGAACGTCCCCGAGCTGCTCCTCCTGCCTGCTGGTGCGGCCAGTGCAGGTGCTGCAGACCCCTCTGCCCGCGCGGGGACGGGCAGACACGGGGCCCGGGGGCGCAGGACGGCAGCACGTCCCGTGGGAGCCTCCTTGGAACCTTTCTGTTTGGAGTGGATATGGTCCCCACCTCTGATGAAAGCAAAAACTTTGTCCCATATTCTGGCACATCCTCCACGCAGGGAGGCAGGATCAGAGATGTTTCTGTTGGGTTAAAGAGTTTAGAAGGTTTGAATGTCTTTTTGATGTATGATGAATATCTTTGCAGCTCACTCGAACACAAACAGATGAGCCTAGATAATTTAGTGCTGCAGGCATAATACTTGCAGGCTTAGATGCATCTTTCCTAGCAAAACTGTTAAAATTAAAAACACGAATATCAGAAGCCCAGAAATGCAAAATTAGTGTCTAGTTACATGCTGTAAGAGGTCCCTGTTGCTTTATGTGTGGTAATTAATTCCTGAGGAGTATAAAAAGAATAAGCACAAGAGCAAACACTGCAAAGCATGGAGTTTTTGCTGTTACCCGTGTTGCTGCGATGTTCTGCCATGCTGGCTCAGAGCGCCGCTCCTCCCTCCGGAGCGGTGGTGCTATCGCTGCTCTCCTGACTCGTCTGCAGCGTCTCGCTTCTTGTCCTTCATCGTGTCGAACACAAGCCACCTGTCTTCACCATTCGCAGCAAAGAGCTCAGGGCCTCTTGTCGTTGGTCACTCAGAGCCTATTGCACTCTGCTGCAATAACAATGGCAGTTGTGGGCTCCAGTTTGCCTCTCTTTTGCATGTGAGATTGTATTACCCTTGGAGTAGCCTGCTTGGTTTCAGTGACTGTACTTGAGAGCTTGAACACAACTCCTTCTGAGAAAGGGTAGGGAAATCTGTTCTGAGTTATTATTTTACAAAAAAAAAA